CTGCTGGGAATAAGGATTTGTACCCATTTATATGCAAATTGTTTTCAAGGTAGTTTCTTGGATGAGAAGGAGCATATTGAATTCAGCAACGTAATTTATAAAGCAGAGTCTTTGGATTTAGCATTCCAGCCCGCAATATTCCATGAGAGAATGGTTAGGGGTTTAAGAGCCTCTAAATGTCAATCTGAGTTCCCTGTATTTGCCCTTATTAAGGCAAATTCTGAGGAATGGTAAGAACACAGGTTGCGTCATGCTGTTTGTTGTTGGGATAAACTATTGAGGAGGCAAGTATGTTCTGGGTATCAGAGAAGGCAATATCATTAGAAGATAGCTCCAGGGATGACATAAGACCTGGAACCAGACCTCTGTCTCTGGGAAGTTGCCAAGTGCTGGGACATTGGTTCTTCATCTTTATCAGAACAATCTTCAACATCCCCATTTAGCCCACATAATGATTTACAGCCATTTTCTAAGGGATGCAGTTGGAGAACCACATTGTAGCAAATGTTAAAAGCATGTCTAGGTTCAGAGAAGGATGAGGTGGACTGTTCCTTCAGGATCTTTGTGCTTAGGAAACTCCAGTTGTAGCAACATTTTGCCAGGCTGCAGATTACCAGGAACTGGATTGGACACCACGGATTCTTCAGTGACTGTGTAAATGGATTTTTTGATATTGTGAGAGTATTAGAAATTTGTTGATTGAATGTATTGCCATAATCATGAGTGAATGATAAGGCCAGATCAATGAATGGCTTAGCTGTAGAGCATATTGTCCACGTTTCTCTTAATTTGTCCAGTCTGTGTATGATGTCTGCTTGTTCTATATCTGGCAATGCACCAAATGAATCAATCAGCTTTCCTTCCAGTGAGCTTTCAGTAGACTTTCTAGATGAGACACTTGTCTCAACTCTGCCCTTTTTCTGCTGGAGAGTTGAGCCCGCCACAGTTGTTACTTTTTCTGCCAATAGAGTCAGGAATGAGGACAACTCTAAACTCCCTGGTAGTCTCACAGTGTTTATCAGTATGACCAACATATTTATTTATGGCTTCTGCAGTTATAGTGGCTTTCAGCTTACTTTGCAAAGAACTCCTTTAGTTAACTTTATTTTTAATTGAAGTTAAATATTCAAAGATTGAAGTCACTGTGTGCTGTAAGCAGACATTGTCTAGATACGAAGTCTATTCTATTGTCCCTTTTAAAGTTCAGATCATCCCCATCCCTGCATAAGCAAGGTAGCTGCTGAATAGACAGCTGGAGTCAGGGGAGGGGAGGCATCCTCTATCAGGGAAGACAAAAGTTATATAGCTGTTGGTTTTCTATTTCCACCTGTAGATCCCACTCCAAGGAGTTATGTGTGTTACATCCATCTGATGAGACAGTAGAGTCAAAGTTACTTACTGAAGTTATCTGCTTATTTATTGTATATTCATTCATTTCCTGTTGCTTCAGAGGCTTGGTTGAAATCTGTGTTGAAGTGGATATAGTGTCTCTTCTTCTTCCTTTTCCCCATTCTTAAGTCCCAGATTAAAAATTATTAAGTTGTGACTAGAGCAGCAGATAAGTGACCTCTCAGGCAATACAATTTAAAAAATTAGAAATGGAGAATAAAACTACTAAAATAAAAGAATAAAAATGGAGAGCATACACTCAGAGCTGCTCATCCATCTCTATCTTGCACTCCATCTTATGCAGAAGGTATTGGTAAGCCATTTCTGAAAAATGTTGCCAGAAAAACTACAAAGGCTTGCTCCTGCATTGACTCCAAGGACCAAGCAACAACCAACCACCCCTTTAGTTACCTCTGTATCTTTACATTTTACGATATTGTTCTCCTTGACTCTTATCCAAATGTATATCAGTGGATTAACAGAACACCCATGATACAAAATGTAACATATTTATCTCCTGCAATGTCTGCATTCTTTTTTCAGAGAAGCAGAGATATTTACCTAATCTTAAAAATGAGAAGAAAAACAGCCAGAATAGGCAGAGGATGGGAGCTGCTAATGCCTGAGTCACAGCTGCAATATGAATCTGCTTCTCCAGTTTGGTGGGAAGGTATGCATAATAGAGGTTATAGCGATCAACGGTATGTTTCAGCAATAGATAAATTAACCCTGAAAATAAGAAAAATATGACAGTATTACTAAGAAGGGCTATAAAAAAGTTTGCAAAAATTTATATCAACATCCAAAAAACTCCTTCAACTCATCCTCCACTCCTAGTGATAAAATAACTCTCAAAAATGAACACAAATGGTATAATGAATGGTTATAACATTTTGTTTGGTCATAACATTTTGTTTTCTTAACACGTATTATTATTTAAAATTCAATATATTGCACATAAATACTGCACAATGTTAAAATGCAATTTAACAACTAATGCAAAAAACTGACACTCTGGATATCTTTCCTTATTATTCACACAAGCATTACAGACAGTTTTTAAACATAAGTTCCCATTATCTATGGCATGTTGTTGAGATGTTCTGAGTATGGGAATAAAATATGAGTGCTAGATATAATACACTAGAAAGTATAAAAAGGTAAAATCAACTTTTTTATTATTAGCATTTTGCCTCCTAAAGCCTATATTCTTTGGGAGGGGGCAAGGCAGGAAAAACAAATAAAGCATGGTTTCTGGAATTATTTTCTAATTATAAGCAGTAACCATAAGAGGAATCTGTAATTACATTACAAATATGATCTAAAATCTACTAGATATCTTCAATTTCTTTTCTTTCATGCTATTTCTTTAGCTTGTAATAGGCCAGTGATGGTGAACCTTTTGGGCTCAGTATGTGAAAAATTCAGAAAATGGCTAAGTTGACTTTGCTAGCGTGTCACTTCCCCATCCTTGAACAAAAGAGAAACAATTCTTTACATATTAATTTATTTAAAAAAAATACTGTCCAATTATGTGTGTGATTCTTAGACTCTGCTGTGTACCACTTGGATTCAGGCGGTGTTCTCTGTTGACAAGCCACTGTGATCTACACAAGGCAGCTCAGGCTCACACAAGGTTTTCATTCTTGAAGCACCTTCAAAGAATATTCTTCTGTGGCCTCTGTAGCTTTCCCAAACTCCACAAAAGCACATCCAATTCTCAAGCAATTTTTGGAGGCTTCAGAAGCTGTGGCAAAGCACAGTCTCCTTGCGTGGCTTCCAGAAGCCATGTAAGAGCACAGCTCATTTTTGGGTGGCTTCTGCAGCCTCTGAAAATTGTGCAAAAGCACACCCTGCTCTCACACTATTTTCCAAAGCTGTAGAGGTTACATGACTTCTTGTGGGTATGCAATTCTCACATGGTCTCTGCAGTCTCTGCAAATCAGTTACTAGAGCCTTCAAAAATCACACAAGAACGGGACATGATTTCGAGAATAGCTTTGTTGAATGTTGATGAACACTGACATGTCACTCAAAAAATTGTGGTGTGTCACCTTTGACACATATCTCATAGACTCACCATCACTATAATATGCTGTAATGCTCTTTCATATATTTTTTCAGAAATTTAAAATGCACAATCTAGATTCTTTATTTAAAAACTGAATTGCTTTTTAAGTATGTGCCCAATATTACTTCGGTAGATTTCTACCTCACACTTTTATATGTCCAGATTTTACAGAAGATGGAGGCATGCATGAAGGAGAAAACATCAGTAGGATAACCCAATAGAGTAGAGTAGAGTAGAGTAGAGTAGAGTAGAGGAGAGCAGAGCAGAGCAGAGCAGAGCAGAGCAGAGCAGAGCAGAGCAGAGCAGAGCAGAGCAGAATAACAGAGTTGGAAGGGACCTTGGAGGTCTTCTAGTCCAACCCCCTCCTCAGGCAGGAAACTCTACACCAGTTCAGACAAATTAGATATATAACAATATCAACAGCAATAGCACATATACCTATATATCACCCCACTGTAAACTGGGTGGTTTACAATGTCAGCAAATTGTCCCCAACAATTGGGGTCCACATTTTACAGGCCCTGGAAGGATGGAAGGCTTACTCAACCTCAAGCCCTGTCGAGCTCGAACTCCAGGCTGTGGGCAGAGATTGCCTGCAATACTGAATTCTAACTACTGCACCCCCAATTGCTATTGTTGAATATTTAAAACCCCCAACTTCTTTCAGATCACTTAAAACATAAATGTGTAATGTAAAATGATAAATGACACTCTCTTTTTCTACAAATGGAACTACTAGATATATATGGCTTCAGATTCATGGATATTGGTAAACAGGTGAGTCATTCCATTTTTCTTATATAGAGTTGATGCCCTAAATCTCTTTTTCTTTTTTTCAAGGCTTCCTACCAAACTTAGACTAAACAGCCTTTTTAAGCATCTTTGCAATAAAATATTCACTTCATCTAAAACAAAACGATAAAAGTATTATCATATTTTTCGGAATATAACCTTTTCCCCCTCAAAAAAGAGGCTGAAAATCTGAGTGCGTCTTATACACTGAATACAGCATTTTCTTGCCTCTTGAAACTCCGCCCCTTCACAAAAATGGCTGTCCATAGCCTTTAGGGGGCTTTCAGAGTGCTCCTGTGAGCTGGGGAGGGCAGAAATGAGTGAAAAAGGGGCATTTTTTGCTCAATTTCACAGCCCCCCCCCTGGCCCCCCGGAGCACTCTATAAGCCTCCTAAGGCTATGCATGCCTTTTTTTTGAAAAAAAAGGGGCCTGTTTTCATGAAAAACGGGCTATTTTGGGGAGGTCTGCAGAGTGCAAAAACATTTTTTAAAAATGTGCCTCTTCAAAATCTTGGTGCGTCTTATACTCCAAAAAATACGGTAACAAAGGCATTCATTTCAATGTTATTCCCAAGCCAAGTATCTGGCACTTCAGTCTGCCCCAAAATACAATCCCAGCTCATTTATCAACTTACCAAATGGGACAATAATAGGACATGTAATACTATATGCCATGATGACCGTGAATACGCATAACATCCCAGCATACATTGCTCCAAATTCAAATTCATAAGCTTGTTCCTACAAGGAAATCAAAATACATTAAGCATGAAAATAATTCACATAAATTTCTAAGGAAACTGATTTTGGCAAATGTATATAAACACCAGAAACAATCAACTCCTTACTTATATAATTATGTGCACAATCTAGTCTTGTGATAAAAATTTCAGATTCTTAAATGGGAATATTTCGTACACACTGCAACATTCCCAGACTTTAGTGAGTAAACATTGCTTGCACAGATACCATTTCATGGGCAAAGGCTGACTCCCTCATTTTCTAAACCTATTAGGCCATCATTGCTCAGGAAAGCCCCAATGGTGGTGAAGATCTCTCTTTGATAGTGGCTACACCCAACTCTTACACTGAAGATGCTCTTGAATAACCAATTAAACATTCTGGAGGTAACAGCTGAGAAGCTCATTGTCAAAACAGAATGGCACATAGCATCTGGAATCATTCACTGTAAAATTTGACAACAGAACGGTGAGTAGGGTCAGACATACTCCCTATTTCCAGATAGATTAGAAGTTGCATATCTTTGACATATGAATCTCAATTGGCTACTATTCCAAATATGGCCATTGCTCATTCTTCTAGGAGGGTAGCTAATGTGACTATTCTGTCAAGACAGCAATGTCCTTGGGGATAATATTCAGGAGGGCCACATTGTCTGTATATTTCTTAATTGTTCTGTATAATGCATTTTTGCCTTAGCGGAAGATATTTCTGTGAGAAGACGCCTGAAAGGATAGTTCCTTTTCTCTAGCTGCATGTCATATTCAGCATGTTCCTCTCCCATGGTAAATATGGAGACCACTCTGGTTTGCTTGCTGTGAAGGGTACCCTCCACCACTGTAGGAAAGTGAAATGTTAGTATTTATCAGACAATTTTCTTTCTATAGTGGATGATTGGCATCCAGCTGTCCTTCTGCTAACTATTGCTTATGGCAGTGATGGGCAACCTTTTTGGTGTGGTGTGTCAAAAATCGGCAAAAAATCGAGCATAACTCGCGTTGTGTGTCACTTCGACAAAAACATAATTTTGCGCAATTTATAGTTGCTGCTAATGGCGCTCACAGTTCCCGTTGGCACTCCGCTGTTCCCTGCTGTGGTGCGGTCATAACCGACAGTCCCAGGAGTAGACTCTCTGTGCCGGCCTGACTGGAGAGAGGAACGCACTGTTCCCGTGCTCCTCTCCTGCGGGTCCTCCCTCGCCGCGCTGATGACGTGTGTGCACACGGCACGCACGCCTTACCAGCAGCCCCTGCGCTCAGAAAGGGGCGGCGGCGATACAGTAAGTGAGTGTGGGCGGGGGAGATCACACGTCCCGCCCCCCCGTTCCTCCAGCACAGATTCTTTCATCCTCGGCGGCCGTGCAGGAGCCGAGGATGAATCGCATGAAATCCTGTGTGTGTCACCCCAAATGGCTACGCGTGTCAGCACTGACACACGTGTCATAGGTTCGCCATCACTGGCTTATGGTATGGAAGGCAGGGGAGAATATATCATTATATGTTTTTTCTCTGAATAGGTTACTGTTGCTGTTATTCATTTTTCTATCTTTAGGTGACATAACTAGGAGCTGATGCATCCTGCCATAACTATATGCAAAGTTCTGTCTTCTGGTTTAAATGGAAAGAACAAATTCAATAAACGATATCTTCTACCCAGTAAAGGTAAGAAGCTTTTTTGATAAGTAGTGATGTTTCATGCACTACTAAGAGGTCAAAGAGTCTCAGAATGAAGGGCAGCAAACCCAAATGAGCAGAGATGTAAAACACTCCAATGGAAGAATTAAATATAAAATGTGTTATATCATAGAAAGATTTGATACCTGCTGAACATTTCTCCTCTCAGCAGAAGATTTGGCCATCATCATGCGAATGGTGTACATCATAAGGCCTGGGAAACGCACCAATTGTGTTCCATTGCCAATAAAAGCTGAGGCAATTACATAGTTTACAAAGAAAGCTCCCTGATCAGGCAAAAAGACACATCTGCAATGAAAAAATAGGCATGCAATCTTATCTCCTTTTCACCTATCTGGAAACCATGGTGAACAGTGAGCATTTTCTTTCTCTCCTGCACATCTGTCTTGAATGGAAGCAGTGAAAACAGGGATCAGTATTGTCTTCGATGTCCACTCACAAAATATGAAATCAATCCAACAATGATTTGCCATATACTCATTTATTTTAAGACAACTAGAAGAATTTTGAAATACAAAAAAGTGATGAACTTTAAAAATACTGCAAATTCCTCTGACAAAGGAAGTTCTGAGTTAAACTTAGGAAAAACAAAGTATTTTTTCAATGCTTTTCTGCTATGAATGAGATGAGATTTGCAGAGGCTTAAGGTACATGTTTTGCTTTTGTAAGGCTTAATCTAAGTAATTTTCTCTTTACCACTCATGCCTCCTCAAAAAGGTTGCCCCGACTCATTCTGAGGAGTCAGTAGCTCTCATGGCATATGAAATATATTCTAGAAAATATCAGTCAATGGTGAACATCATAGTAAATAAAATCTATTGTTTGATTACATTGATGTCCCATCCACACAGCAGCCCTTCCTCCAATTTCCCCCCCACAGCTGAGATAGACTGGGTTGACACAGAATGACCAGCCCAAAGTCATACCGTGATTTTTCTCAGATTTAAATCCTTGACAAGATATCAGTGGCTTGAGCTTTGAATATCTCTGATAGATCACTGCACGTGATGTACTTGGGGCCAATGGCTGCACTAAAACAGAAAGGCTGCAGTGACTGGAGCACTGGTTCTAAGTAGAAGAGACAGCCTCTCAGTGTGGATAGTTCCAGTTTTTCCAGGGTTTTAGGATAAGTTTAAGAGGCATTTTAATTTTTAGAAAGCAATATTAAACTTCCCCCATCAACACTCCTTCTGAAGTTGCATAAAAGCCACACAGAACTTATACAGCTCTTTGGCTTCACAATACCTTCCTTTTTAATGGAATAACTTTAGGTCACACTTTTGGGGAGCAGCACTCCTGAAGACACAAAGAGCAATGTTTACTAGTTATTCAAAATCATTTCCCAAGACAAAGAAATCATCACATAAGAATCTTTATATTCAGTTCTTCCCACTGCATAGTATCAATTTATGATTCATAAATTTAATAGTAACCCATTTGCATATCCTGGGTCAGTTAGCAAAAGGATGAAAGCTTCTTTTTAGATACTTACTCTAATCTAACTTTAGATTCAGATGCTTTATCAAATACCCAGCGAAAGAAGAAATCCAGACTGAAAGAAATATTTGGTGTTAATTTCTCCAATTTACTACAACATCAAATAGAAGAGAAAAATTTAAGTACAACAAATTTAATAGTTTCAAATAACTTCACTGTCTATCACCACACATATTATGAAAGCATAAAAGTTATTTTAAAAAACCCAAGCTACAAATGGACCAACTTTAACAATCATTCGTTCAGCTGCTATTCAAACTTTTGACAGCATTGAATGAGTGGTACTTACCAGTCCTTAGAATTTCAGCCATTACAATATTCTGTGGTCACCATTTGCAATCTTCTTTGTTGGTTTTCGACAAGTAAAGTTATTGGAGAAACCAGCAGGAAGTTGCAAGTGATGAGCACATGACATCCTCACTTAACCACTCACAGGGATTCACTTAACAATGGCAATTGGGACTGCCGGAATTGCTGTAACTAAGCAGTGCAATCATGTAACAATTATTGAACTTTACAACTGAGAACTCCTGTATCTTGTTTTTTTTTTTTACTTTTTAGCCAATTAAAATCAATTATGTGTTTGATTTTAAAATGAAACAAAATAAGAAAGGTTTTTGAATAAAATCCAATGAAATTCTACTCTTGGTGGAATTATTCAAATGGTGTAAAAAGTAAAAATAACACCACTCCCCTCCCCAAGATGGACATGGCAAAAAAATCAATTAGGGCTGAAGGCGCACTGGAACAGGACTAACAGTGACCTTTAAAATGCCATGAGTGTTTAGAAATGATTCCCCTGCCCCTGTATCTGTATCCCCGGAAAGGGGGGTGCTATTAGATGAAATGTAAGATGGTTCCGTCAATAGAGCCTAAAAGTTTATGAATAAATTGTCCACTCACTATATTCTGCCCAGGGAAGATTTCTAAGGTGTGGGAACACTATAGATGAAAAAGGCAAGTCCCTTGGGCAATTCCGAATTTCAGCCAGCAAAAAGACATAGATATATAAACAACAGATATAGACTGAAATGTGATAAGCAAGTGAAAAGTATTCTACCTCTCAAACACTTAAATATAGAAAGTTGCTGATTATTTTTACATGGTTTATGTAAATTTTGTACATAAGAGGAAATATGAAAAAAAAGAGGAAGAAAAAAAATTATTTTTTTGGCATGGCAAAGATTGTTTCAGATATTTAAAGGCTGCAAAAAAAATAAATTTAAAAGAATAGAAACCATGTCATACTCAGAAAGCTAGAATTTTACAGTAGCCTTTACCTAGTCAAACCAAGTGAAGGTAATATTAGTACCATGAAGATCAAAAATGAATAAATCTTGTGCATCATTATTCTGTTTTCATTAGACCTATTAAAAAAGAAGAAAATGATTAGTTGTTGCACATTGTCAAACATTATTGGGTTTGATATGGTAGTTACAAATGGAAATGCTTAAAATTAAAATTTGGAAATAAGTTGATTTTGGATTACTCTGGAGTTGGTGTTATTTGTTACTCTGACTGTTTTTACACTAGTTTCTGTCAGCTCTATCTAAAAATAATCCTTTAGTGCAAGCATCCATAAGTCAAATACTGAACTGGATCCAATAAGCTATACAATAAATATTATTTGTTCAATCATTTAGTTGACTGTTTTCAATGAAAACCCCAGTATGTTAAATATAAAAATAATTTGTTTATTTATGATCCAAGACCAAGTCACAAAATTTAAAACACAGCACATCTTCTGGATAGGAAGGCTCCATTTACAGTCACTCACGCCCTGGTCATCTCCCGTTTGAATTCTATAGCGCACTCTACATGGGGCTGCCTTTGAGAAGTACCTGAAAGCTTTAGCCTGTACATAATATAGCGGCAGACACCATATTTTTCAGCGTATAAGACGCACTTTCTCCCAAAAAAGAGGGTGAAAATTTGGGTGCGTCTTATACACTGAATACAGCATTTTTGGCCTCCCAAAACCACACCTCCTTCACAAAAATGGAGGTGCAGTGTGTTTTGGGAGGCCTGCAAAGTGCTCCTGGGGGCTGGGGAGGGCAAAAATAAGTGAAAAATGGACCATTTTTGCTAGTCGTCCACCCCCCCCCCAGGAGCACTCTACAAGCCTCCTAAAGGCTATGCATGCCATTTTTTGGCAACAAACGGGCCCGGTTTTGTGAAAAATAGGCAATTTTTTGCTCGTTTTTGCCCTTCCCAGCTCCTAGGAGCACTTTGCAGGCCTCTGAAACACTCCGCATGCCCCATTTTTTCACAAAAAATGAGGTGTGCAGAGGGTTTGGGAGGTCTACGGAGTACAAAAACTTTTTTAAAAAAAATTTACCTCTTCAAAATTTTGGTGCATCTTATACTCCGGTGTGTCTTACACTCCAAAAAATATGGTATGTGTGGCCCTAGAACAACATAAGTTACACTTCAGCTCTGTGAGCTGCAGTGATTCCCAGTTTATTTTCAGATCCAATTCAAGGTACTGGTTTTGACTTTAGCTCTTTGACCAAATCCTTCAAGGCATGGGGCCAGATTATCTGAGGGACCACTTGTTCCTGATTACATCTGCCAGTCCCATCATGTCCGGCAGAAGAAGTATGTGGCAGGTTCTGTCTTCTGATGAGTTGCATCTAGTATAATCCAGAACATGAGTCTTTTCTGCTGTGGCATCTATCCTGCAAAATATCATCCCCTACAAGGTAAGATTGGCCCTCCCCAATTCACCAACTGTTAAACTTTCCATGTCCCTCAAAACGTGGATGTGTCAATTGACCTGGGGAACTCAAGGCAATGGTGAGTTGTTATGACCATAATGGAGTCCACAATTACTTGTGAGGCCAGACTGGACAAATAAAATCGTGACTGGTCTGGACAAGTAAAAACTGGTTTCCAGCAAAAACATTGATCTATTTTCCACCTGGCCTGTAATTGCCCATATTGGAACCATGTTTGAACTGCCTTCTCCTCTTTTAATACCTCTAAGGATTTTAATTGTAGTGCCCCTCCTTCCAAAATAAGAAGCTGTCTATAAGTAATTCTATCCTGTTTTTGTACTATATTCATATTTTCAATTGCATGTCTAGGAATTGTCCACATAGGCATCTTATCATTTAATTTAATTTATGTTGATATTTTTTCCAAACCCGCAGTAAAGCATTTCT